TAAATTCATTTCATAAACTGAATATACAGTATGTATAATATAGTATGTGTAATATTTATAATATATATAATATAGTATATATAATATGTGTATAATATAGTATGTGTAATATGCAGATTATAGTATATATAATATGTATATATGTAGACAGTTGTGGTTTGAGGCGTCTCAATAAGAACATTTATAATTCTGTATAATTCTCAGCTGTTAATCTTCTTCCCACACTGCTGTATCACTGCGAGCTCCAACCAGCCGGTGGCGGTGGCGGTGGCGGCGGCGGCGGTGGATTAGGATGTGAACCAGATGTGATGCGTGTTAACACTTGAAGCATCAGCAGAGGAAGAAACATTCAGTGTTCTTCAGTACCTGAGGGTCTTTATGTCTGCAGCCTGAACCAGTTCTCTTCATCTTCAGCTCAGTGTTTATTTATTAATATCATTATCAGGATGTCTTTCTACCGTTTCATCGCTGGAAAAACACGCCGGCGAGTTTGTAATGAAACGACTCTCACTGGACCAGAAGGAGCCCTTCAGAGCTGAGCCCCAGTCGGATCCAGCAGGAGGTCCAGAACCGGCGTTTGATCTGCTGGGACGCAACCGCCCAACGTCTGCAGCTACATCGTCTCTGCTGACGGCTTCCTCTGCTCTCACAGCGGGAAACTGAGTTCTGGTTGTACAATGTCTGTCTGTGGTCTCCAGAGACTCCTGAGGACTGATCTGTCCTTCACCTGCTGGTTGCTAACTGTGTGCTAGCAACAAGAATCACCTTCCATACATTATTATTATTATTATTATTAGCTTCTTTTAGCAACGAGAGCAGCTGGAGGACGTCAGTCAGACAATATTCTCTCCATAAAATATGATCCAGTTTCACTCAAATCACTGATAAAGTTGTGTTTGTAGTTTTTAATTTAAATTTTTTTATAAGTTGTCATTCTTTGTTCAGTAGAGATAGAGTAAGACTGGGGAGGTGATTTTAAAGGGTTAAAATGACATTTTCGTTTCCTCTGGCTGTAAACAATCTGACGTTATTGAACCTGCAGTCTGTAGGTTTTTAATATTTGGCCTCATTGTGTGTCTATTAGCACAAACACGGAGTCAAGAGTTGTTGAACCTGCCGTCTGTCTTCTGCTGCGCCACACGAACCCCAAACCGCCCACTCCAGTAATCAACGGCCATTAGCGCCGGCCTCAGACTGCGTTACACAGCAGAACCTGCAATCAGAGCGAGCTGCAGGTCCAAACGCAGGCGGGAACTGGTTAATAACAGCAATTAATATAAATCCACACAAAATACTGATATTATACATCCATCTAAAGTTTGACAGTTTGGTAAAAAGATGTTCATTTACTTTCTGATGGAGAGAGACTGATATCTCTCATCATCATATCCGTCCCTCACATCAGGGTAGCAGTTAGCTTAGCATAAATACATAAAGCCAGTTTAAGTGGAGTAATGAACACGTTAGAGCTCTTTTGATTAATTAAAACAAAACAAGTGTAAAACGGGAGCTCATGTGGCGGACTACTTTCTGGCTTATAGCAGTTGCCAGGCAACCAGCAGAGATCATGTTGTTGTGGTGACGCCATTCAGAGCCGGATACGTCCAGCCGAGTCACAAACAAGCCTTTATGTTGTTGTACACGTTTTTACATCTCTTATTTCCTGTTTTTTACTCTATATATTGTTATAAATGAGTAAATGCACTGATTTTTATGTATGTAAAATGTTCTTGTAATTTCTCTTTGTTATTTCCCCGAGATCAATAAAGTATTTCTGATTGCGTGAGTTCCAACTTCGCCTCCGGTCCACAGTAAGTGGTTGAAAACGTCGTCATGGAGACAAAAAGAACAAACAAACTTTGGCGTTCTCGACTTTTATTCTCGTTTTCTTCCTTTGTCGTACTCCTGACGAAGAGCTTAAATATCTTACAGAGCGAGAACAGCAGTTTGGATATTTACAAGATATAATAAATGACATACAACTCACAATGTGTTCGGAGCGCTGCAGGAGGAGGAGGAGGAGGAGAAGGAGGAGGAACAGGAGGAGGAGGAGCAGGAGGAGAAGGAGGAGGAACAGGAGGAGGAGGAGGAACAGGAGGAAAGAGAAACAACTACAGTAATTTTACCGTTCTTCTGAGGCCGCGGCCCGCCCAGAGTCTGACGTTACAAACAGAAATAGGAGGCTTTTTCCCGCTGTGTTGCATGATGGGAGAGTGAACGCACAGCGGCGTCCGTCCCAGTTAACCCAGTTCTCCCAGTGACACAGCAGAATAAATACACAGCGTCTCCTCAGAGCTCGCTTAACTCACAGCCGCCCACAAACCGGATGACCTCACACACGCGGTCCGCCCCCGTTAGCTAACGACACGCTTCGTTTGAGGGGGACGGAGTCAACGGACCGTCCTCAGACAGGAAGACGCACATGTGCTCACGCCACAGCGGTCTGCGAGCACCCATCAGGGACCGACAGCGTCCGTTCACTCGTGTTTGGACTCGACTGGCTGATTCTGTCGTTCCTCCCTCGGGGGGGTTTCTCTCTGGGAGAGAACGCTGAATAATTCATTACATCGTTTAAAGAAAAACACAGAGAGAGTCGAGTTCAGCGGACCGATCATCGACACAGATCAATACGCCGAATCCACTGCTGACAGTTCGCTGTCCAGATGAAATGAAACCTGCAGTTTTTACCTGTAACATCTTCGGTCATATCGCACCCGTTCATCAATTTATGCCCAAACATGTACAAAATGTAGAAAACGTACAGGTGTCACAACTCAGTCGCTTCACACTCGCCTTCCAACGGCGAAGGAGAAACTACGGTGGCCACGAAACATGTGAAAGATGCTAACAGCGTTATCAGAGACAGTGTTTGGTATAAGTAAGTATTTCCAGTCTTTGCTGAACGAGAGTTTGTGAGACAGGAATTAAAAGAGCTGTTTCTACTAACGGCAGCTTCAGTTCAGTGACTTTTATCTTTTAACCATCTTCAAAATGTGGTTGTCTTTCCAACATAGATTAGCTTAGCATATAGCATGTAGCATATCTAAGTACAGGAAAGGAGGAAGTTGACAGAGGCTAGCTCAACTGTGATTGGAGCACAGAGTGAAAGTGGGCGGGGCTTATGAAGGGTTTGACAGTTTGTTCTGTGTATTTGATGAAACACTGCAGAGAGAGAACAGGTGTGTTTATTCTGATACAGTCCTGTGCAGAGACATAACGGCAGAGCGGGGAGTGTCACAATCATTCACCGTAACCGCCGGCCGGGGGGTCTCACAATCATTCACCGTAAACCGCCGCCGGTCTCACAATCCATTCACCGTAACCGCCGCCGTTCCACAATATTCACCGCTAACCGCCGCCGGTCTCACAATCATTACCGTAACCGCCGCCGTCTACAATCATTCACTTTTAAACAACAAGCAATCCTGGAGTGGGAAACCTCCGTCGACAGGAAAATAACTGCTTGGCTTTTATTTTCTTAAACAGAGCGAAGGAAGCTAAAGACTGTGGGGAGGGAGTGAGGGGAGGGGGGAGGTTTGTGCGGTTATCTCTTCAAGGTGCAACATAAGTTTAGGGAGAACGGAGGGGACACGCACACCTGTATTGGCTGGACGCCATCATGCCACACAGCGGGGGAGGGGGGAGGGCAGTGGGAGGGCCGCTGTGGGGGGAGACAGAGGAAGTGTTTGGCGGTGAAGAGGACGGGAGGCACGAGGAGGTTGGTAGGGATGCGGCAGCTGGAAGGTGATTCCACTTGACATTCTTAGCCAGCGATACATTTCAGAAAGCTCACAACCTGAGAGAGAGAGACGTCAGAGGAGAGAGGAGAGACAGGAGAGAAAAGAGAGAGAGAGAGAGAGACAGACAGAGAGAGGAGAGGAGAGAGAGAGAGAGACATCGAAGAGAGGAGAGAGGAGAGAGACAGAGAGAGAAGAGAGACAAGGAGAGAGAGAGAGACAGAGTCGGAGAGGAGAGACAGGAGACAGAGGAGAGACGAGAGAGACAGAGAGAGGAGAGAGAGAGGACAGAGAGAGAGAGGAGAGGAGACAGAGTCAGAAGAGGAGAGAGACAGACAGAGAGAAGAGAGAGAGCAGGAGAGAGGAGAGAGAGAGGACAGACAGGAGAGAGAGAGAGACAGAGAGAAGAGAGACGAGACAGAGAGAGAGAGAGAGAGACAGAGTCAGAGAGGAGAGAGACAGACAGAGAGACAAGAGAGAGGAGAGAGAGACAGAGAGAGAGAGGACAGAGTCAGAGAGAGAGAGACAGACAGAGAGAGAGACAGAGAGAGACAGAGAGAGAGACAGAGAGGAGGACAGACAGAGAGAGAACAGAGAGAGAGGAGACAGACAGGAGAAAGAGAGAGATAATATAAATATAACATAATAATTAACTATAATAATTAATATAAAATGTAATATAATAATATAAACTAATATAATAATATCCTCTCT